TATGACTCAGCAGACAGGACTTGCCTGTCAACATTCTGCGCCTTACCTGCGCAATATCGTCCCGGACGACCTGAGGCGAAAAGCAAGCATGGCATTGTGTACCTTCTTCTCGAAGTCCTCTGCGACACTGTAGTGTTGCCGGAGGTGCTGCATGATGTCGGTGTAGGTGTAATGGTCGACAAACGATGAATGAACAGTGTTGGAATGTGAACACAGAGGGAAGCCCGGAACCACTGGTCAGGCACAAGGAACACGTTCGGGCGTGCAGAGCAAGTAGGTCACGTAGAGAGACATGTTCAAACATACACGTGGGCGTGCTTGGACATGCCCGCTATTGGGAAGGTAACGACAAATTGAAAGAATCCTCCCCCTCTTCAAATCCATGTGTCATGTGCAACTGAGAAACCACGCCAGCGAACGCGATACTCCGTGCGTCCGTTTCGGCGGCGTACATTCACCAACTTGTTCACGAGGTAAGTTGGTTGTCCTGCTTCGTCCATCAAACGGGGGTTCATGTGGTGTCGCCAACAGAAAAGAAACAGAGCAGAAGACAAGAATTGTCCACAACGCAAAGTGGTGACGTGGCAGTGTTTGTTGAGAGTTGTGTGGTTATGTGGTGTGTTATGCAAGAGCATGTAACATCGAGCAACCACACAAACTAAACACTGCACGTGCAACAGGTTGGAGGGAAATCACGTGAACATTCCAGAACACAAGAGAGGTGAGTGCAAATTTGTGGTGTCGTGAAGAAGGGAGGTCAATGATGACTCAGCAGACAGGACTTGCCTGTCAACACTCCCCCGCATTGACCTACCTCTCTGCTGCGTTGATGTTCTGAAACGTGATGATGATGATGATGATGTCATGCATGTAGGAATGGCATGGGCAGATGTAGGTGAGATGTGAGTAAGGACGTGTGTTGTGGAACACGTTTAAGAAAATGGTTGGTGCCTGTGGTGCGCAGCCTGTTGTGGAAGGCTGGCCCGAGTGAAGGCGTGTCCTGTGGTGCGCGGCCGCTCAGAGGTCCTTAATAAAGGTGGTGCAAGACTTACGTGATTTTCCTCTTGTTGGTTGGTTGTTCAATGTGGTGGCAACGGATCAAGCAGAGCAGTAATCAACGTGTGTGTGTGTGTGTGTGTGTCCTCGACTTGAGACAGATGCGGAACAAGAGAAACTGAACGGTAGGCACGGCAAGCTCTAAGATACAGACATCCATCTCCTAAGAGCAGGTAAGCATAGTCATCGATGGGTAGGACTGAGAGATTAGGAGCAGGTGTAACAGTGGAGTCCTCTATTTCCCATGACGACTGACAGAGGTGGTGGTCCTCTAACAGTGGCAATTCTCGTGCATTCACAGTGTGCACTCTGAGTCATCTTCTATCAGTCCTGACGCGGAGTCGAAGGACGTGGCGACCGGCCCGAATGAGGACGGGCCCGTGGCTGGCAGCCTGGCAGAGGACGCTGGTCGAACAGCATCGTGCAGAACTGAGCCGTCTTGGGCCGAGGGAGGATCTTCGTGAGGAGATCTGCGATCATGTGCTCCGTGGCGAGGTAGCTCAGCACAATCCTCTTGGTGTCGACGCACTCGCGGATGTAGTGGTACTTGACGAGGATGTGCCGCATGCGCGAGGCGGCGTGTTCGGCAACGCGCTGCGCCGGCTGGTTGTCCGTGTGCACGAGCGTGGGCTCGCACAGGACGGCGCCGGTGAGCTCCTCCTGGAGTTGGCGAAGGAACATGAGTTCCTGTGCGGTGGCTGCGAGAGCCATGTACTCCGCGTCGGCGGAGGCTGTGGCACGGGTGGCCCTGCAGTTTGGAGTTCCAGGACACG